GTGTTTACATAACCCTCACACCACACCACACACACACACCACAACCCACAAACTACACAAACGCCAAGACCCAAATACCACACCACATACACCACAACCTGCACACCACACTACACATACCGCAAGCCACACACCATATCACATCTGTACCCCAACACACACACCACAACACACAAACACAACCCACACATCATACCACACACACACACACACACACACGCCAACCTACAGACCACAAACCACAGACAGACCAAAACCCGCATACCAAAAACAACGCAACACAACACACACATACCACAAATCACACACCATAACCTGCCCAACACACAAATCTTAGGGAACAATGTGAAGTTCAGAAATGCATGCTCTTATCAGTTAAGCTCCGGAACTTATAAAAGGTCAGGGAACAAGAACGATGGTAGCACTGGTTGATGTGACTCTCACTGAGGCTGGACTGGTGATGATTGGTTTCTTATACCCATTTTTGCCCTCAGCTTCCTGATACCATTTAATAAGAATTGCTATGAGTATATATGCATTCTGAGAATTTAAAGTAGGTATGACTGATTTTTATGTATGAAAGTTCAGATTTGTGATTTTTAAGAATATTCTTACAAGATTATTTTTGAAGATAACTAATAAAATAAATTACTCCTTTCTTTGTAACTGAAAATTGCTGCCTGCCAGTAAGAGAAACTGGCTGAGAAAACTCCCTTGCTTGCTTACACTTTGTTAATCTATAACAAGTTGCTTGGTTGTGAACGTACATGAGATTTGGGGAATCATTTATTTTCTTTACATATCCTATGCAATGTTGTTTCTTGCAAAGGTATTGGGGAACATAATATTTTTTCACAATCATTTACTAGAAGAAACTAGAATGTACTCACACTCTGAGCACTGGCTGCTCTTGCAGAGGAGCAAGGTTTGCTCCCCAGCACCCACAGGGCAGCTTCCAGTTATCTTCGGTTTCAGTTCCAAGGGGTCAGATATCCCTTTTTAGTCTTCTGGTACACAGACATCCACCAAGGCAAACATTCATACACATAGATTTATGAGAGTCGAGTCTGTCCTAAGCAGCTATCACATAACCTGACTGGGGTAATCCTTTAGGAATGTGAGTCCTTAGTGGCTATCAAGTCAGTGGATTAGGAGTAAAGGGCTAGGCCTGAGATGGCCCCTACACTGCATCAAAATTCTCACAAAGTCACAGCAAAACAAGCATGAAAGGAGGGCATTTACTATGTTATTCAGCAGTGGAATGGGACGCTGTATTCCTAGGGAGCTATCAAGAAAAGGACAGGGAGGAGAAGAGAACTCAGTGTCAGGGCCAGACTAAGGATAAAGTGTAGCCTCCAGTTTAATCCCCCATTTTACCCTAGACACTGGACTATCACCTCTGTGGCCTGGGGAGAAAGATAAGTCTAGATAATATTTCACTTAGGTCTTAGAGCATGGGCCAAGATTGAGGTCACTAACTACATCGCAGCCTGAGAAAGGGGAATTCATAGCCAACAACAAGGGTGGGGATTTTTGGACAGAAAACTACTCAAGGGAATCCACTTCTCTAAGGAGCATTCTGGCTGAACAAAGCTCACAGGACTTGGCCCCAGTCAGGTAGGGTGCCCTGACTTCAATTCAGTGTGGACAAGAGTTCTGAGGATCCAGAGCAGACTTTGAGAGTGCTCGGCTACACAGGACAGCTCAACTGACTGAGCAGGAGCTGTGCTAAACCTAAACCAGGCAGATACCAAGTCAGAAGTTCAGAGCTCAGGCCCAGTCTCGGAGAGCTCACTAGAGACTTGTAGAGCTTGGTCCTTGAGATTTTGGTCAAGACCAAGAATTCTAGGTGTCTGATATTAGGGTTGTCTTTTCCAAGAGCTCAGGCTAGAGGGGAATGAAATCACTCCTTCTAGCACTGCTGTTTAGTGAAAACATGCACATACAGAGAGATGATGATGATCAGGTTGATGGTGATGATGATGATGATGATGACAAATATTACATTAAGAAAGAAAATAGATTCGGCTGTACCATTCAGAATATCAGTGTTCTCATGACGTGTCCTTTCTAGCAAAGCATTCAGCAAGCTGAGACATTCCACATTTTCCTCTGCTTTCAGATGTGGTTTAACAATAGGAGAGAGAGCAAAACAGAGGACCAGGGAGAAGAAAGCAATGCTGAGGTGCACACCAGCTGGGATCCAGGACCACATTTGCATTGTGGACCC